ACTATCTACGAAAACCATGACTTGGTTCCTGGCAGGCGAGTTGTGCTCTTTTGTACCTCTTTCATCTGATCCGTGGTGTGAGAAGCAAAAATTCCGGTCCAAGAACAGCTTATCTTCGGGAATCTAAGCGAGCGGCTTTGAGTTTATGCACCTAAAAAAGGGGCAAAAAACCAAAAAAACCATAGACAAGGGCGTGGGCAAGTATTGAAGAAGGGGAACGCCAGAGGAGGGATTGTAATGTAAAGGATTTTGTACAACGGCATGGCATTAGTATTAAGTTCGGGTAAACATTTCTAATTAAATGTTATGGAAGAATCGTGAAGACTGCAGGACTCGCGGAAAGGGAAAAGACCGCCTTCCATGAATTTTCTCAGGCTCTGATTTCTCTTGGCGGACTAGCAGAGCCTGCCTCGTCAGTTTTTCAGCAGGACAAAATAATTTCGATGGGTATTTGGTTATAACACTACGAGATTAGATATCCATATTATGCCAAGATTGAAAGATCAATCCTGGATGACAAAGGACTGAACCGTCATAATCGTCCCATTCACCCACTGAGCAGCGTTTACCTACATGGGCGATACCTTTCTGGGAAGAGCTAGCTCGAATAGAGACTGTGCTAGCGCAGCTTCATGGTATGTGCCGTATCTCCCACTTGGATTATCAATCCTCTACAGAGGAGGCCGTGCGCGAGGAAACCTTATGTGGATTGGTGCTCTTTACAGTATCTACAGGCAGGCAGCACCGAATTCTGCTGGAAAGGAACCCTTTGTCTTCACATATTCCTTAAAGGCACGAGTCGGGATTGAATTGACGCGAGAGGACGCAGAGACCACGTATGCCGTGGTTGATAACGCTGGCAGCACGGCAGCACACAATGCAGGGTCTTAGCGCCGGTGCCTCGAACTTTTGAGTCGCGACAGTGTCGCGCCCTCAGTGCTTGGGGAGCCCACCATCGCACCCTGGGAAGAACTTCTGCTGGTTGCCTAATCCTGACTCGTAGCTTTAAGACATTCAGTTCAGGTACACCGTAGTCGATGATCTACATGTAGTTCCCGGAGCAAAACTGACAATCGCGCCCGGCTCAGTCCTCGAATTCCATGAGGGCATCGGAATGCTCGTCCAGGTATGTCCTTACCCTGTTATATGACCGTCTTTGTCAAAAATAGACTGTTCATAGGGCGAGCTATCGAGAACGGAATTCTTCGGTCCCGAGAAGCAAGTGATTTTCACCAGCAAACCGTTTGTCCTTGCCAAAAACAAGAACATACGATTGGTTGACGACGATGGCAGCGATGAAGTAACAGAGGGACGACTTGAGGTTAGAACTGCTGATTTTCCCAACTATTCCTTTTTCTCTCGTTCCATTTTGGAGGCAAGGGTGGGGAGCTATTATATTAGACCGCTCTAGGAATAAAAAATTTCCTTCATCCGAGAGGGGGGGGGTGTTATTATGGAAAAGGGTGAGGATATGTATATATTAATTTTCACGGTTTCCGATCCCAACAAAATTTACAATCCTTTCGAATTTCAGGTTTTCGTTGATGGTACGTGGGGTACGGTATGTAATCGAACTTGGTCTGCACAACTGACACAACTGTCCTGCAACCAGCTGGGTTTGATAGCTGACCCGGAATTTTTCGAGAATTGGAGGATATTTCGTTCGCAGGGTGATCTGCCGATGATCATGGACAACATCCGATGCGAGGAAAACGAGGTATCCAGCAAATGGACTTTCATATCATTTTATTTCTTTCCGCATCTATTCCCTCCCAGAATCCCTGTGCTTTAGGTGGATTTGACACGATGTCGCCACGACGGTGTCGAACACAACGTGGCCGCGGGCTGCCGTCCCACGGAAGTAGTAGGTCCGTGCTTGTAACTATAGAGCCCTCAGCGGTTTCTGTACTGATCCTTTCAGCTATACGATGTGCTGAACCTCGTTGGGCCGGAGTGCGCTACTCGCTGCTCGCGAATCCTCCAACGTTCACTGGTCAGACCACGATGAGCAACTGGATTATTGAGAAGGTTAGTGGTTTTGTTGGTTTCCACCTCTATGATAATGACGTCCACCTTACTACGGAGTGGCACTGGGGCGGTTAAAATCGCTCGGGGTAAAATGGTCTCGCACCTAAAACAGCAGCATATTCTTCAAACGCGTATGGTTCCGCGGGTTACCTCGCACGATTCAAGCAGTGGTAGAATCTCGCCCAATCCCACGAAACCGATCAGGACTGATTTTTAAGCGCGCTAACAGAGGCAGGCGTATCAGCAGGTGTAGCAGAGGCGTTGGGGCCCAGTTTTGTTACCGTCACTCTACCGCATTCCCGTGACGCCACCTTGGAATTGAAATCCTAGCCAGTGTCTGCGTCTCGCTTGTTCCCATGCCCTCTCATTCTTCAACGTCTGCGTCCTCGTCGCGACGCCTAGTTTGTCTGAAAAGTGAGTAATAATGGATTCTTTTCCCTCAACTGCTCCTGTTTTGCTTTTGATAAACGGATATGATATTTATTATATTGAGAATTTTTGGATATACGAAAATTAACTAATTAATCACTAACTGATCCAATTTTTATTTTTATTTGATTATTTTATTTATTTGGTACTTGATTACGTGCGCACCACAGAACCACTCAATCACATAACTGACTGATTACTTGATCTCATTATTTACTAATTATTTGATCTTTAACTAACAAAGGAGGGGCGGTGGTGTAGTGGCAAGTGGCACGCTTACCACGCGAGCGGTCCGGGGATCAAATCCTGGGTCGTGAGTCGCCCGGGCCAACCAAGCCTTCCATCCCTCCGGGGTCGGTTAATTGGTACCAGACTTGTCTGGGAGGATAAAAAACACTGACTTGTACATCGGCTGGCCCCCGCAAGTCATTGTATAGGCCACATCGCATTCAAACGCCACTACGAATGTACAAATGGAAGTAGAATGCGTGCCGCATCCCAAAAAGGGATTGATCAACGGCAAATGCTTTATCCTTTTATCTCAACAAAATATACGGGAAAATATAATCTGTTATAAACAAAAGGTTAAAATGTCAATAGAAACGAAACAGACGACGCACAATTATTAGCGTGATGGAAGCATAGTACTGTAGACCACATAATGGCCTCAAAAGACTAACGCGCTTAGGGTTTGAAGCATTTTATTCTTCCTTTTGAGCGCTGATAATCCGTTACGGAGTTAGCATCAGATCACGTGTATTGTTTGTTTGCAGGCCGGTTTGTTCGATTTCCGATTGCCGGTATTCTCTCCAGCTCTTCAAATCGACTGGAACTACCACTGTGTTTCACAATCTCATATTCAGGGTATGCTGAAGTTTGTTGATGTTCACATCGCGACCCCAACAAAAGTCTCAATTTGCCCAGAACAACTTTTGGAATGGTATCGAATTCGTCTACAATCTGAACCTTGATAAAGAAACCTGCCTCCGCAAACAGCATTGTTGACGAACAATCGCCGTAATGGAATGCATCTTCGATCTGTTGGCATCACGTTGGAGAACGTTAGTAACTATCACCTGCTGTGCGATCATCGCATCTAAAAGCTATTGTTTTAGATGAGTTTAACTCGGTCCGGGCAGGCAGGACTTCGTTACAACCCTCAGATATCCTCATCACTGCAAAGGGATATAGTTTCGTGGCTTGACATGAGGGAACAACCCGAGCTTGAGGCTAAATAATCCCGGACAAGGATTATCAGTCTATTCAGGTTGGTCAGGTAGAAAATAGCTCTAGCCAAAAGAAAGCTAGTTGGGACGAAATCTAGCAATCACTTGTAACCTTCTTGTGCCTTAGAACTTAATGGCACATTCCACGATTAGGCACACTCACCGATTCTTTCGGCGATTATGATTGATTGTTTGACAATCGTTGGTGTCACCCTGGTTTTCCTGGCTTCAAAATGCGCAGCAAGAATCCCAGGGAAAGGTTTTTGATATGTTTTTAATTGGATAACTGCTGTTTTACGCCGCAGTTCGCAGTGCGAAAGTAGTCACAAGAAACTTTTGCCCCAGCCGGGAATCGTACCCGGATCTTTTGTGCAATCAGTTGCACACCCGGGCACCATTTTACCCGTCTCCAAGTTTGGCTCATAATTCAGCATTCTTGTGCCTTGAAGATTTCTTCGCTTGCAGTTTGCACTCACCCGCATGCCCCCTCTCCCCTTGTCGGCCGCAGTTCTGGTAGCGGCACCATTGCGGATAGCTGTCACGCTTTCTCTTCACTTGTTTGCAAGCTCCCTAGCTTGATCCTGAACGGTCACCAGTTGGCGCCCGTATAAAATTACAAAGAAATATACGACGGATTTTTTTTTCAAAAATTTTACTTGAGCACCCTACACTTCTGCAATCTAGCCATCTTCTGCAATCTAGCAAAAAATCAGTTTGGGAAATATGTTCGAATAGCACACGCATAGTAGCCTTCGTTCAGGACTGATGGACAGAAGGCTCTTAATTGGGTATTTCTCGATAGTTTCTTCTGATTTTTCTTTACTTACGATCGAAGCAGCCACTCATAACTTCATATTTGAACACCCTTCCCCATCCCCAGATTGTGCGTTTGACCAGTTTCTCGCGAGCAAAATGTCCTCATTTGACCCCTTTCGGTGATCGACAAAATGAACATATAATAAAATATGGAGCCCTTCAGGTCGTTGAGAGTCACTTGAATCAAAGGAAGTTCCTGGTGGCCAAGGAGACCCCAGAATGTCCAGCCGGTAGGTTTCAAGACTGGTCAGTTGTGAGTAATATTAGGAAGAGATCTAATCTTTCAGTTCCTTTGGAGCGTTGTTTCTTCGAGATGAAACTGCAAGCTAGCGGTTTCGGCTACGGTCTTCCCGCGAGAATGGCCATCCAGGTGAGTATTCATGCCTTGACTCAGATCGTGTTATTTGAAAGGCAAAATATATCCAGTTTTCTCGGTACTTTTCATGACTGTCTTTTGTGTGTGTCTTCCCCCATCAGTTCTATCCATTGCTATGCAAATACCCGGAGAGGTGAAAGTGGCGTTACTTGGCTGCGGTTCTGATTATGTTAAGTCGAAACTACGCGGAAGCTTGTTCAAGAGGTGGGCTTCAGTGGGGCTTCATTTTATTAACTCACGAAGCTTATAATTCTATTTTTATCGACGCAAGCCACCTCTTGTTGGGGGACTAAGTGGCTTCCCGCTAACAACACCTTGACCTAGAGGACCCTGAATTTCTCCCCATCTCCGAACTGACAAGATTTGCTTAGTGACTAAACGACTTCTTTGCTCACCACCCCTTCAAATATATGCAAAAATTGAAGAATATCGTTAAAATTTCGATTTAAACGTCGTAATCAAGATAATAATAAATAGATTAGTTTGATTCAACTTGTTTCTATATTAAACATAATAACTTCATTGTACAGCTGTTCGAGATGAGGATCACCAACTTTTTTATCCTCTCATTGCTTGCAAATTTACGGGCCTCATTTTGAATGTGATTTTTATATCTTGTCATCAAGCGGCTATCTTATGCACATTTGTATCCACTGAGTTGAAGTTCAGTGATTGGAATTCAAGTTTAGTCTGCAGCAATGAAATTTTCTGAATCCTCTGAAGCTGTGGATTTCGCGCATTCAGCATATTCAGCGATCATTTCTAGGCATAACTTCCTAGTAATTTCTGCTATCTCTGATGTGCAAATCTATTTACTCACATAATATAGCCTGTGAAAAATTCTCTTCAGACTGGGAACAAGGTTATCTTTCATGTTTGTTGAGCAATATCTGCGTAACGGCAGGAGTTATTAGGTGCTGCGCCCGACTCCTTTGCATATAGGGGTTAATATTTGCCCGCCAAAACTATCTTCATGTGAATTTAACTGTCACTGCCGACCTAACATTGTTTGTTCAGATCGTGAACCCGGTGCCGAACATTTTCGGACGAGGATGCCGTGTTTTTCGATCAGGGAAGTGCGAGATCATACAGCGCCCGAAGCGATTCCATTCAGGTTTTCGTCTTACTCCATCCTTTTCTGTTTCTTATTTTCTGTTGAACTCCTAGAAAGAAGACATTTCAGTTTTCCTGTTGTATTCAATTCCAACCTGGTTACCATGCAATACACGCGGTCCTACGGTGCTCCGAAGCTGATCGTTCTTGTACTTTTCCTCGATGGTGAGGCTAGCGTTCTGCTTTAGATGAGGCCCTGCGATCCAGCAGTACAAACATATGTGCCGTTTCTTTTAAAACATTGAAGAATTAATTAATATTATTTTAACGACTTCGCTGTCCTCCCGGTTCTCCCATGAGACTGCACTTCATCTTTGCACTTTTCCAGGTTGTCAAGGCATTTTCGTGATCTTCCACAAAAAATCCACTTCTTCCTAAGTCGAGCTTCTGTTCGGGAATGAGATTTACTAAATGGAGCGAACCAGACTTACCTGTACATGTTTATGTTCCTCAACGTCTGAGAATGCTGATACAAGCGGTACTGTGGAAAAGGTTGGGGCTCAGAGACTATGACTGTCTGGAATTTTGAAAAACTTAAAATTTGATTGAGCGCTTCGTTCCTTCAGCAGCTCATTGTAAGTGAATTTTTGTGTTACATCTTGCTGACAGCGAGAAGAGACAACAACAAACTGGAGTAAAAAAAAACTTGTAAGATACGTGATTAATAATTCTCACTGCTATATTCGCTAATTTCCAGCTCAAGAATACCTCGATCGATTTGTCCATCTTTACAATTCCGTGGTCGAAGACTAATCAATACGGTATTTCGTCGGTCCACTACAGTAATCTGTCATATCCCTGATGGAACTATCACCAACCGATGGAGTAATGAGAAACTGTGGTTCCAAAAGGTGAGAAGTTGTCTATTTCGATAGATATGGTTGGAACTGGTAGTACTAAAGTCTACATAACGCAAGGAATGACTAGACCCATGAACTAAATACATTTCATAGAGGCTTCAAGAACTCAATAAGAGCTTAGGATTACTTTTCGAGGGACCCAGTCTGTTCATCTAGAACAAGGGCGAAAGTGATGAAGTGACCAGAGGAGTCGCTTACTGCGCGCAGAATCCAGCAATCAAATCGTGGATCGTGTGCCGAACCTTGTATAGGCCAACCACCCACCCCCCCCCGTTCCTCAAGTGTAGATGCACGTAGTCAGGACCTCTGCGAGGAGTCGTCACCAACCTCCGATCGATTGCTCGCGCAAATCATTGTATACAACAAATCGCACTCAATTCCAGTATGGTTCTGTAGGAGAACAGAATGCGCGGCGCATCTCAGAAAAATGTTGGTCTATGGCGAATATTTCATTCTTTATCCTTTTATCTTGACCCAAGATGAAAGTTGCAACTTTTAAGGTGAACTTCACCCGGAACTCAGACGCTGTCATTTGGATCCATTCACCGCAACACGAAGTTTTGCCTAATACTCCTATTCAGAGGTACTTCCCTACCTTTGGGTTGTTTTTTCAATGTATTTCTTGATTTTAAGATCTACTACCATCTGGACAATTGTTCGATTGTCGGACAATCATGGACCAGGTGATTGAGACCCATCGTGATTTATTCGCCTCAGCAAATATATCTTCCACTGGAACATTTGGTTTGAGCTTGTTTTTTTTTCAAAAAAAATTCCCTTCTCATTTTAAGCTGATTATTACGTATGGTCAACTTCAGGTCGAACACTTTCGCGAACAATTCGAACAGTGGTGTAGCAGTACGTCTTCCCGACACATACGACCTCCTTGCCAAGATTGAGCACAGTTTTTGGGTAATCCTTTCTACTCTAAGACTGCAGACCGACGTCTGTTTCAGTAGTTCCTCTCGTAGTGTCTTCCCCTATGAGGCACCTTTTTTAGATGACTGAAAATCGTTTCGAAAACAATGACAATCTCTACGTGCTCTTGGATGGATACTATGCCTTCGCAAATATCTCGTCGAATAATTTCACGGACAACTACTCTGGCTGGTGGTCTAATGGAGTTGAGAGGAATGGAGAAGAAACTCGTCATGGAACAAATCGCATTCATCACCAACCAAGGTGAGGCTCTAGCGGAACCCGGAAAAATGAGGGCAGCCAACAAAGCCTTTCTCTCCTCCAATCCATGCCTTCTCTCTCCAACTTCCCAGTTGCTCCCACAACTTGCAGCTTTCAGAATCCCAGTAATAGAGAAGTGAATAACCGTAAAGTTGGTAAAAGACCATTTGAATATGAAAAAGTTGCAGAGAAACAGATAGAGGTCAAAATTTCTGTGGTGCTCCAAATCTCCATCTCTCATATGTTCTGTCTTTTCGCAACGATCTGCGACCCTAGAGAACACAAGACTCACCCCTCACCCACCCCAACCAGGGTGAATAACGGTCGAGGAATTCCTCGACCATGGCTCTCTACTGTGCGAGAGTAGTGTCGAGAGTGAATGTACGCGCGGAGAGCACAGACGGCTCGCGGTGGCGAGAGTGAATATCCGCGCGGGAGAGCGTGACTGAACAGGCGAAAATCCTCGAGAGCCGTTGCCGTTCCCTCACATTTTCATCTGCCCCACTCCGCAGCGTCAAGAAAAACGACTCTAAATTGAGCCTTCGCCTTTACGCGATAAATTTGTTGAGTTTATGTTAGCGTTGGTTAAAGTAACGTTACACCGCTGACTTATTAAATTTTTCCCCAAAATAATTTGATATTGCTCCGCTTACCACTTTTTGAGATTCGCGACTTTGTTTTAAAGTTCAGCATGGAGATTGACATTTATGGTAAAATACACATAAAAAGCGAGCTGCAGGAGATAATGGATCCCATGACGTCATAAATGTCTTCGGGATTAATTTGCGCCCTAAGATGTTCTCGCACAGAGAGCTGCCTCTAAGTTTTTAAGATAAGAAGGTTCTGATTTTACAAAGCTCACAGTTATGCAGAAGAGGACGGGAAAACGCGCACGTTTTTCACAATAAACTACATTTATTCAAATTTTCCACCTTCTTCTTCAGAACGTCCCTCCTCTGCGAGCAATTGTCACGCTCTAGCTCCGCCAAAGAGCACTAGACCAGTAGCAGCAGTAGACCGCACAGCTTCTATCTTTAAGATTTTCGGGTAGTCAGAATTAGCTGAATTTCGAGGTTGACTTGAAGCTAATTCGGTACTATAATCGGATGGTCCTACATGCGTATCTCTAGTCATCAGTGCATCTTCTTCTCTTTATGGCATCCATTGTAATGTAGCAGAACTGGTAGGTGCCAGGGTAGTCCAAAACGAAGACAACCAGCACTTCCTTGAACCCTTAACTACAATCCCTGGCGCTATCGCAAGATACAGGTGCATTCTCTAACCAGGAAGGTCTTTCAGGGCGTGCCAAGCTTTTTGAAAACGGTCTTTTGCATGATATAGGGGCACATGCGGGAACCACAGAACCATGGTTCATTTTTCCTGAACGGCCCTCTGAATACCAGAAAAGGGGTCCCTAGTTCGATTCCTCGTGGTGACAAATTTTTGCATTTCGAGTTGACGTTCCAAAATTCGCGCAAAATGGAGTTAGCATGAATAATTAGTACCATATTCATGATTAGGACCGTCAGTAACCCTTACAAATAGACTTTGACTTAAAAATTGGTGTAAGAGGTGTGACACCAAGCAGCCCCACTGTGGTGTCACACTTTTTCCACCAAATCTTTGGTAC